TGTGTGTGTGTGTGTGTGTGTGTGTGTGTGTGTGTGTGTGTGTGTGTGTGTGTGTGTGTGTGTGTGTGTCACTACTTTCAGATTTCCTTGCATTAAGGTTGCAGTAACAGTTGTTCAGCTAAAGATTTTGGATCTAATACAGACTTGTGTGCGCGCCCATGTCCAAATTGGAGCAGCGTGACAGTGTGACAGTTCATATAGGAAGCTGCCGTAATTGGAAAAAGAAGAAACATGCACATCTCCAAGCACCTGCATCAAGACGGAGGGCATGCACTGAAGAAACACAGCCAGAAAGCAATCAGTAATCAATTTGTCTTGTAATCAGTTTACAAAAGGGTTTATTCCAACCCTTTCAGGCCTGCTTATTCTGATTGGGATGTTTATTTGAGGCATTTTTATTCTGTTTGGGGTGTACAGGTAGCCAATGGCAATCTGGCAGATAAGGCACAGTGAACTAGGGTTATAAATACAGAGGGAGTTGATTAGGGCAATATGTTTAAGTGAGCAGAGAGGCACTGAGGGTCAGGTGACTGGCGGTGGGAAACGGGACAGGCCGGAGCGGCTGAGTGTGAAATGACAGAAGAGGCAGTGTGTGGAAAAACAGGCAACCAGAAAGAATCACACAGGCAAAATCTGCAAAGCTAAGTAGAAACAGATGAATGGTATGCATATGTAGGATGTTTGCAAGAAGCACACGTATGCATGGGAGCAGTTTTGGTGAGCGTGAATGATGAGCACTTTCCTACTTTTGTGCTTGGAGTTCAGGTAGAATCAAAACACCAGTTCAACCAGTTCAAATAAGCAAGAAACAGCTTAAACTAATCTAATCCATTTTCTGAAACTTTCCAATCCATTTTCACAATTCCGCACACCTTCTTCTCATATTTAGGGATTTGGTGCTTTATTTTCATTCAGTTCAGATCATTTCTGCTTATTTTCAGTTTTCCAATTCGATTCGGTTCACTTGGATTAAGCCTTGACTGCCATCTTTTAGCAGCTCTTGTCATCACCTTTTGCATATCCAAACGTTTTTTAACTCGACCCAGCCCCTCCTACGATGATAAATCCTAATGTGACGTAAGTAATAAAAACGCATCATGTGGACTTGTTTTACAAAATGAGCACATTTAGAAAGAAACGCATTTAGCTGGACAACGAGAGCTCCCAGAGCCTACACAGCACATTCAACGATACATGTTATCATATGCATATTACTGCAGTTTAAGTAAACAGTTAGACATGATATTCCAGTGTGTACTCCTTTCTCTGAGCCAACCACAGACACAAGCTTGTAGTGAGGCATTATTTTTTTCACCATATTCATGATGAAAAACACAGAAAACCAGATGCGTACCCAATACAGCACAGGAGGTGGTGATATTTTGATTGACACGTGAGGATGTTATTGCTCCGCCTTTGGCCTTAATGTCATTTTATCTGAGAGGCAGCCAAGAGTCAAACGGCACCCACACATTACACACACATGAAAACAGGAAACAAGACAGAAAATAACAAACTCCTCCTTTGGCCTCTGGTTAATTGATTAAATCTGAAGGTGAATGTAAATATAACCAGCAGTTGTGTACTTTGTGTTTGATGGCTTAGTATTTGGTCCTGCTGGCAATGAGAATCCACCCAAAGGCTCGCAGCCTATGATGTCACGGTTGGTCTCAGCTGGATGATGTCATCATGCTCCTGGCTGACCTTCCCACGAGCTGCTGACCCTTCATCTCACAGGATGAGGATTACACAGAAGAGTGCGCTTGAGCGCTCAGTCCAAACATATATTCTGCACGTCTGCACGTGCACATGGACACAGTAAAAACACGCTGCGTCCACATGCTTTTTTGTCCATGCCGCACTCACAGGGTGCCTCTTTGCTGCTCGGAGTTTTTCTGCTGATTTCATCGTGAGCTGCTCTTGGTTTGTAGATGATGCCTTTTGGGTGGGATTCTGTTGTTATCGTCAGTCTTACTCGTTCTCTTTCTTTTGTTTGAAAGCTGGGTACATTAGTATAATGCAGGACTTTCTAAACTGGAGCTCGTGTACGGCACTGTGCAAAAGTTTTGGGGTTTTTTTACTAATTTTTAATCAGTCCTTCAGGCTTTGTCTGAAAAACAAGTGTTTCTGGCTTGTGTTTCACACTAGATTTTGTACCTGATCAGACAAACAACCAATTTTAAATTGAATCGTTAGGCTCTTTGTCACTGAAGTTATGAAAAAGCACAAAATATCATCTTTGCACCAACAATATGATTCAAAAAGAGCTATGAGCCGAAAACTTGGCAGATCTGAGCGCAGTATGAAGTGTGTCCTTAAAATAATTTGGGGAAACTGAATAAGTGGAGTACAAAGAACAAGTGGCAGAAGAGGATGAACAGTATCTGAAATGAAATCTGGCCTTTCAGTTGATCTATCTACAGTTTGCTAAAGCCTCATCAGAAATGTCAGACGTGTCTCAGTGGAAGCAAGAAGCCAGTGTTAAGGAAGGGAGACGGGGAGAAAAGGCTGAGGTATGCCAACTCACACAAGAGCTGGACTGAAAATCAGTGACAACAGGTCTGATAGAGTGATGAATCCAGATGTGAAATTTCTGGTTTGTCACTGTGCAGAGAAAAAGGTCAGGAGAGAGATACAACAGTGAGTGTCTACATTCATCTGTAAAACGTGATGGAGGCTCTGTCATGCAGTGGTGTTGGGGATCTTGTCAAAACTGGTGGAATTATGAATGTAAATCAGATTTTGAGCCACCATGCAATACCATCTGGAACGTATCTTATTGGCAGTGAAGTGAAAGCATACCTAGATAGCAAACACACAATGTCATGGATTGGCCTCCCCAGAGTCTGGACCCCAACACTATTGAAGCAGTGTGGGACCATGTTGACAGAGAACAGAAAAGCCAGCATCCAAGGAAGAGCTTTGAATATCTTAAACGATTCCTAAAAAGAAATGATAAGAAAGCTAATGTAAGAGAGTCCAGGCTGTGTTGAAGAATAAAGCTGTCCATACCAAATATGACTTTTAAACTCATTAGAATTGTACAAACTCCATTTCCATCTTCCATCCATCCATCTTCTTCCGCTAATCCGAAGCTGGACAAGTGATATAATCTCTCCAGCATGTCCTGGGTTTGCTCGGGGGCCTCCTCTCGGTGGGACATGCCCGGAACACCTCACCCAGGAGGCATCCTTTTCAGATGCCCGAACCACTTCAGCTGGCTCCTTTCAATGTGGAGGAGCAGCGGCTGTCCTCTGAGCCCCTCCCGGATAGCTAAACTTCTCACCCTATCTCTAAGGTAGAGGCCAGCCACCCTTCAGAGTTAGCTCTTCACCACGAGGGACCGGTACAGCGTCTGCATCACTGCAGCTGCAGCACCTGCTGTAGGTGCCGTAGGGGTCGCCTGCATTGTGTGCTGGGTGGCAGCCAGGAGTGGAGGCCCTAGCTGACCGATCCCAATACCAAGACTGTCAATTTTCCATTATTACTGGTATTGTCAGTTTGTTGAGCGAAGTTTGCCAGAGGCAGCGAAGAAAATACACAAGACCACGTGCAAATGCGGAGAATCGTTTTGAATGATTTGGTAAATATTAATATTTTATCATTTTTGCTCTTTTCGTGATGCAGATTCCAGTCGAGGTGGTGCGGCCAAGCTTTCGTTCTCCTGTCCTTTGAAGGGTCACTACTGTCTGTACGCCAAATCCTGCTTCAACCTGACCAGCCGACAGCCGCATCTATGGATTCACATCATGTTGTTACATTTACAGGTGCACCCAAATGTCCCGCTGTAAAAGCACACAAATGTGTTAGTAAGTGTAAGACGTGCATCTGATGTCATTGGTCTTTGGTTGCCTGAAGGTCTGAAATATGTTGTTTCTTAAACATTTCGTATTGGAGAATAATTGAGAACCTTCACTGACTAGGATAGTTTTACGCTCTTGCGCAGTCTTTTGTGTCTTTATCTGAACCATATCTCAGTTTTTAAATTTGTTTTTGTTCTCCTGCTCTTGTATTTTGTCTCTTAGAGTAAGTCCAGCGTACCTCTCAGCACCAGGGACGAGTGTGTCCAAAAACTGGGTTCTCTTTGGGAAAAGACGCAGCTTAAAGGAGCTCACAGCTTTTCTATGGCCATGACACAGCAGACTACCCCACACAAGAAGGTACTGGACCACCGCAGTGTGGGTGGGTGGGTGTGTGTGTGTGTGCGCAATCATGCAGCTTCCTCATAAAAGCTATCTGTTTCCACCAGAGAAGATGAAGTCATCGCTTGCGTAAAAGAAAGAAATAAAGATAGGGAAGCGTCAGCACCCACTTTGTTTAGATATGGAAGGCACTGAATGGACGTGTTTGTATACAGGACCTCCGTTCGCCCTGTCTTCTCATCTTTATCATGTCTGTTTGTGTGTTTGCAGATTTGAAACACTGAGAAAAAGCAATTGAACGAGAGGGGGGTTGGGTGGGAATGGTGTGGGGGGTGAATATGTGCGTCTGGTTTGGTGAGAACGTGGAAATGGGTGGTGTTCTTCGTGCTGTCGCTTCTTATGTGTGACAAGCTAAGTGCTCATTAGGAAATAATTAGGCTCACAAAGAAAATACAGCTGTTATTTGTCTTTCTCTAAACGTGTGTTGTGGTTGCAACCAGCTGTGGTTCCCATATGGAGCCCTTACAGAAAAAAACACAAGTACACTTACAGTGCTGAGAAAAAGTGTTTGGCTTCTTCCTGTGTTCTTAGTTTGTTTGCATATTTTGCACACTTACATGTCAAATTTTAACATTAGACAAAGATAAGCTGAGTAAAAAGAAAGTGCAGGTTTTAAATGATGATTTTATTTATTTAATCAAACCTGTCTGCCCTCTAAACGTTAATAACTTGGTGTGCCACTCGCAGTGTTTGTGATAACTGGCAATGCATCTTTTGCATCACTGTGGAGGAATTTTAACCAGCTCTTCTTTGCAGAATTGTTTAATTCAGCCACACTGGAGGGTTTTCCAACACAAACAGCCTGTTTAAGGTCGTGCCAAAGCATCTCAATCTGATTTAAGTCCGGACTTTGAGTAGGCCACTCCAAAACCTTCATTTTGTTTGTTTTAACCATTCAGAGGTGGACTTGCTGGTGTGTTTTGGATCATTGTCCTGGTGCATAACCCCTGTGTGATTGAGCTTCAGGTCATGAACTGACGGTCGGTCATTCTCCTTCTGGATTTTCTGGTAGAGAGCAGAATTCATGGTTCCATCAGTTACAGGAAGTCAGCGCCAGATCATCACACTGCCAGCACCACATTTGACTGAAATGCTGTGTTAGTTTTATGGTAGCTGTAACGGGACTCAAACCTTCTACTAAGTTCAGTTTTTGTCTTATGAGTCCACAGAATCTTTTTCCAAAAGTCTTGGGAATCATCACACGTGAGACGAACTTTTGTTTTCTCTTTTGTCAACAGGTTTTTCTCCTTGAACTCTCCGGTTTTTGCCCAGTCGCTTTCTTGTTGTTCAATCACGGAAACTTAATTGGGAGTGTGTGTGGACACGTTTATGTCGCCACATGTTAAAACAGCTGCACTTAGCACTTATACACCTGCGTCACATACATACCCATAGGGTAAACAACCTCACTCTCTCACTGTCTGATTTGATTATCCATGAGCGAATTACTTTCCTGATGATCTCAATGGTCCTAAATTAGATCACATTAAACTCTTGTTTGTTTTAGCTGGAGGCCTATAAAAACACAGACCCTGAAGCTACACATGCAGTGATTTTTTACATTTATGGGCCATATAGCCATGCTGATAACACAGTGCTTCAGCTGACACGCTCGTTGTTGTGTTTGGTCGGAGAAATCCCTTGTACGTGCCAACAACAACAGTGACTTTACAACTTACGATGATCATTCACTTTCACTATTTCATGTTAGTAAAACTGTAAGCTCTCATTCCCACTCAATTACTGCTGTTTTATCAGGTGCCTGTCAGATTATGGCCCTCTTTTAAAAGCGTATTTTCTTGTGTGCCACATTTATTACTGTCACTGAGTCCTAGTTCCTTGCTTCAGTTTCTGGTTTTGTTCATGATCGTTCTGCCTGATGTTTGGTTTGTATAACCTGTAGTCTTCCCCGCTTGTGCCCCTGTGTATCACCTTAGTACAGCGGTCCCCAACCCCCGGGCCGGTCCATGAGTCGTTTGGTACCGGGCCGCGAGAGTTGAGGCTCGGGTGCGAAATTGATGGTTTTCAGGATTTTTACGTTAACTCGGTTTCCCTGGGTCTTCTCCCGTGTTGTATTTGTGTGTCTTATTTTGAAAGAAATATTTATGTGTTACCATAGCAACCAGAGAGCATTAAGGGGCAGAGAGGAGGACGTTACTCTCAATGTTGTTGGCGCATTTCAGGAGGACGCTGCTAATAAAGTTACACAATTACACAGTGAATTTGTGTTTATTATTATATTTACAAAATACCACATTTTTTTTGGTCGTGTCATTTTATTTTGTTGTATTTATCCTGTTTTACTTTTGTAGTCTTTTGTACTTTGTGCTTGTCACGTTATCCCTGATCTGTTCCCTGTTCCACTGTAGCTTCATTACCTTTTGTATTTATTGTTCCCTAATGTGTTCCCTAGTGCTACCCACTGTAGTTTGCTTTTCCTCATGGCGCCTGGACTGTGTTTTTCTTTGATTGTTCCAGCATTAAATCTTTGCCGTAGGTTAATTTCCGCTAACGTCCACCATACTCCACACAGCGTATCCTGACATGGACCCTGAATCTTTGTGCTTTGCTCTTTGTTTCGACACACTGAGTCTTTCCTTTTCACTCGCTTTTTAAAAAAGCAATAGAAAAAATGAGATGGTTAAGTTTTTAGAAAAGGTCATGGATCACAGCATTCACCCTCTGAAAACCAGCTTACCCAGTGACTGTGACTCCTGGGCTTTAGAACGATTTACATGTGGCAATGACAATTATAATCACCACTGCCTAAAGTTGGTGCATTTCTGTATACTGCGTATCTTGGTAGTAGTTAGTTGAGGCTCAGGAGGCAGATCAGATTGCCTGCAATTAGAAGGTTGGTGTCTCAGTCCCCAACTCCTCCAGTCTGCATGTTGAAGCCTTCTTGGCGAGGATACTAAACACCTAGAACAGCTACAACACCGTGGACGTTGATTAAACAGCCGTATTTGTTGGCCTGGGAATTTAGAAAAGGGTCTGCAAAGTTTCAGCACAACATTCCAACAATGCATAAGTGCAAATGTCTGTGAAAGAAATTATACTGTGTAAATGGACTGTTAATTGTTACGGTTAAGATCACTGCCTTCACATTAAAATGCACTTAGTGCAAAGCAATGACGGGGAGTGGCAAATACTGCACCGGTAGACTTAAACAAGTTTGCTCACCACTACTAAATTATCTTAGCAGAATGTAAAAACATGCTGATGCTGACAGCTTCGATTTTGGTGATCCGGAAACACAAAACAAGCAAAATTAGTGTTGAGGTGAAAGAAAAAAAAACAAAGGTGTAATTTAAGAGGAGTAAGGAGGAGAAAGAGAGCCACTACTCTTTTCTCCATCCACATTCATCACACTGCCTCTTTGCTTTCTTTCCGCCTTAGTGAGATCTACAGCTTCTCTCCTGTCACTGTCAGCCAAACAGCATCGCACATGATTTGACAGCAAGGAGAAGAGCCGCGGGACAAGGAAAGCTGTTATATGTGTGAGACAGAAAAGGTTACCAGTTACATCCGTACTGACAGGAAGATTTAAAGGGAGACCGTAGGGCTTTACAAGGCTTCGGTGATTTAGGAGGGGCTTGTGTTTAGCTTCTGACATTTTGGGTTAGTAGTTTTATGACACAGAGAAAAGCTGGTGGAAGCAAAAATGGGGGGATGGAGGGCCTAAGGGCAAGGGGGGGGGGGGACCTTAAACAAGTTAATAACACTTGTTTTACAAGTTACAAATACATAAAGTTGGAAAATAGTAAAAGGTTAAAAGAATAAAGATGTAAAAGGATAAAAGTGAAGGAAATGAGGAGCAGAAAGGGTGGGGAGGAGCAAAGATGGTCAGATGGGATGCAGATGAAGAGAAAAGGAAACTGAGAGGAACTGAAGGGGCGGTTAGCAAGGAGTAAACTTTGCCGAGGAGAAAACTTAAGGAGTGGGGATTATCTTACATAGTGAGAGGAAGACATGGCACAAGATACGAAAGGAGACAGAGCAAAGTCCGTGGAAGGAGGTGCTTGAAAAGTATTGTTTCACTCAGTTTGCCCAGCGCGTGAGAGTTTGTTGATACAACTGTGGTGAAGATAACTTTTGATGGAGGGAGAGGAGGGAGGAAGGCGGGGTACTCGAAGATAAAGATGGGACCGAGGCTGTGATTAGATAAAGATGCTCGGGGACGAAACAAGGGTAGAGGAGACAGCTGACCTCTGCGTGTGCCCGTGTGAAAGGAGTTTTATAGTCAGGACCCCGGCCTGCCAGACAGAGCCGCAGATGAAAGTCCGCAGGAACAGAAATAAAGCACGTCCCTGTTTATTGCTTCAGTCCGCCTCTCCTCCACTCCCCCTTCCCAACACTCCCTCTTCTTATCCACTCACCTTTCTCCAGACGTACACTCCCCTCCCTCCTCCTCCTTCCTGCTTCAGTCTCATTCAGTTTCCTCTGCGGAAATTTCACCTATATTCCTACAACCTCATCAACCACATTTTTTCCCTCCATTTCTGGAGTTAATAACAGTTTGGCTTCTTAAAAAATCTTTTATCATTCCCAGTTTATTAGAATATCTGGATTTATGTTAGAAAAAAATGAATAAGATAAGATTTTAAATGGCAAAAACAACCTCAAGGACGCATTTTGCAGATTTGGTACATTGAGCATTGTTGCAGTTGCCGTCAGCCATGTGCACTGGCAATCTCGCATCTTGATGAAAATATAATTGTAAACTTAAACAAAATGATGAAAGGAGAGAGAGAAATGATAGAGAGAGGTGCACAAAGGGGGTTTATTGAAATCTCTGCGAGGACAGACAGATTACATTCAGACGCACATAATCCAGCCTTTGTTTCTTCATCTCTTTATTGAATCCACCTTTCGGGGCTTGATGAATCAAACATGGCCATGTTTGTCCACACAAGCTGTTGCCCGGCTGCAAATTCATCTCTCCAACCTCAGCAGCATCAAAGCTCACATTTGAAAACACATACTGGATGTTTGTTCCGTGCATTACGGCCTTTCAGTTGCGATAATTTGGTTAGACACATACGCTGGAGTTTAAGGCATTCTTGTAATGGGCTCTGGAAGCAAATACATCTGATCTTACTCATTTTTCTTTGTTGGTCATTCATTTCTTCTTGTATTTTGCAGCAGATGTCGGGTTTGCATTCACTGTTAGACACTGTTGCTCAACCTCTGACTCACAGCCGGTCCTTTTATCTTCTCTCTGCTTCTGTCTCCAGTTGCTGCTTTTCAGAGGTTTGCTGTGTCATCGGTAAACGATGTTAAAGCTATTTCAGTAATTGGCTCCTTGAAGGTCCGTAGAAAAGCTGTTTCTGCTTTTTCTTTTTCACTTGTAAAGCCAACAAAGACGAGATTCAGGTGAGTCTAAACTACGACACGATTCACGAGTCGTTCTGGTTTCTCATCCATCCACAGAACAACACCGTCAGGTCAGGTCAGTTTCGTAATTTGCTGGACAAAGGCGGTTTGTGTATTTCTGTCTTTGTACATCACCAATTTGTGATTGAAGTGCAGACTTCCAACTTCAATTCAAGGAATTTTACAATTTGTTGGGGTTTTTTTGCATTTACTGTTCAGGATATTTGATATGATTCAAAGTGTTTAATATATTTTAACTATAATTTTAAATATGAGGCCCAAAGAGAGATGTCAGTGCAAGTGAGGCAGGCCATCGTTAGGCCGGAAAAAAAACAAAAATAAACCCATCAGTGTGAGAGAGAGAGAACAAAAAAATCCGGACTGACTAAATCTAAAAACAATAAATTCACTGAGCAGCTCAGCAACACCAAAAAATGCCTCAAGTACCACAAAACGCGACCGAAGTGGCCGACAGGATTATTCCCATGGAAACAGCTTCACAACATCTTCACAACATCAAACCAAGTCAAGAACACTCTCGGGGAGGTAAGAGTGTCAAGGTCTATAATTAAGAGATGCCTTCATGAATGTGAAAACAGTGGATTTACAACAAGCTGCAAACCACTGATTACACTCAAGAACAAGAAGGACAAATTAGACAGAAAACATTTTTAAAAAGCCTGCGCAGATCTGAAAGACATAGAAAAGACAAACAAAACCAAGACAAATGGTGAATGATGGGAAGAGAAAACAGGCATGTATGGCTGCCAGTAGAAGCAGGTCACTAGTGTTTATGGATGATGTGACTGCTGATAGAGCAAGATTTGATTTGTAATTGTAATGCATGAACATATATTTTTAATATATAATCAAATGCTACCACAGCCTGATAAGCACTCCTTTCAAAACGGGTGGAGTGGTTCTTTAACTATATTAACATTTGGTAGATAACCCCACCTTTGACGCTATTTAAAGACGGCTGTAAAAAGTCGTGACACCCTCTGTGGGTTTACATTGGAGCCAGTTTGAAGCTCAGAGGTGCAGCTTACTGACATTTCCTGGAAATACTGCCCGGAGCTGCAGATGGCCAACGTTAGATACTTTAGCTAAATCCTGCTAACATATTATAATCAGTTAAAACAATAAACGCTCTCCTATATTTCCAGATAGCAACATATTAGGAACGTATTAGCGTAATTATGAAACACAGTGGAACTACGAGTGGGGGGAAGATGTGCACTGTATTTTCTAACATATTTGGTACCTCTGCAGTGTAGTAGAGTACAAGTATAAAACAGTATATTGCGAAAACAGTCGGGTAACGTATTTGTCATACCATTCGACTCTCATCTCCTCATCTTCTCTTTTATCCTTTCACTAACTTTCTTGTCTTTCGCTCCTGCTTTTCTTTTGCAAATCTTTTTCTGCATTTGTTCATTTTGAAGCTTACATCTCCTGAAGACCACTCGGTCCACTGCACGTTATGAGTATATTAATGTTGGCGTAAACCCACAGATGTTCGGTCTCTCCCAAACCACATATGGTCTGGGTTTATCTGTATCTGCAGGCAAATCCCCTTCATTTTTAGTCATTTAAGTAGTAATAACATAAAAAATCAGATGTGACATCTTTCCTTTTTAACATCAAGGGGGATAAATTAAAACACACTAGTAGCTCAGCACAGTGTAGCTACGTTCAGTTTTTTCTTATAGTCATTTAAATCCATCTGCATTTGTTAGCCTGCTTGCTGAAGTCAGAAGTTTTACTGATGATCAGTGTGCAAGAGCTGTTTTTAGAGAAATCCTGGAGCCGCGTGTATGTGGTAGGTTTGCTTCTGGGGTATTTGAACTGTGCAATCATGATAAAAGAGATCTGGGAAACCACATAACAACACTGCAGAAACATGGTTTTAGTTAAAGATAATGTAAATTTATGGTAAATGTACGGTATATGTAAAAAAAACAAAACAAAACTAATGGTAGTGATCGATCATTTTCATGTTTTTCTCCAAGGAAGAAAAAAAGAAATATGTCAAGTGTCACTGAAGTGTGTTTGTGTGAATTCAAAGTGAAGTATAACTCTTACCATGTGCAGGAGGTCTTGTGGGATTTCTGGTGGGGGTCTAGTCTTCCATTGTTTGCTCTTCTGACACAGATGCAAAGTTGATATTTTCAGGATTTTTGTTACGTAGCTACTTCTTAGAGTTAAGAATCCCTTATGCATGTGTGATTTTGTATTTGCTTATGCCCTGAGCTGTTTAACAACCACAGGAATGTTAGTATAATCTAAATAAAACATAGATATATATAAAAATCCCCCGCTCGCCCCTGCGGGTGGTTCATCCTTCAAGCTCGGGTGCTCTCCCAGGGGCCCGGGAGCTCGAGGGGCCTGCGCAGTGTCTTAGCTGTTCCTAGGACGGCGCTCTTCTAGACAGAGATCTCAAATGTTGTTCCTGGGAGTGGGAACCACTCTTCCCAGCCTGGGGGTTACTGCACCGAGTGCTCCGGTTACCACTGGGACCACTGTTGCCTTCACCTTCCACATCTTCTCGAGTTCTTCTGTGAGCCCTTGGTATTTCTCGAGCTTCTCGTGTTCCTTCTTCCTGACGTTGCTGTCATTCGGTAATTCTGTAAACTCTTTGAAAGGTCTTTTAGTGCTTTTCGTGCAAGGGTCTGTGTGTTGCATGTAAAGCACAAAGTGACGAGTATAATAATAACAGCAATCCGGAGCTACGCCAGCAGCTCAGGAAAAGCTCCGGAAAAGTGCAGCAATCAGTGCAAGAATTCTTCCATGAACTTGATCATGATTGTTTTAACCCACTTAAACACATCTTTTAATGAAATGTTTTTCATTCTTTTTTATTAAAAAGAATATATTTAACATTTATGACAGATAGTTAGATAAGTAGATACTTTATGGATCCCACAAAAGAAATTGTTGTTTTATAGCAGCATGATAAAGGAAGAAAATAGTACAGTCTACAATAAAGTTAAAGTTACACTGTTATGTATGATTTAATCTCTTTGTTTTTGAGTTACCTCAGTTACAGCTGCTCCGGTCCCTTGATTGATGAGCCAAGAGATGAAAAGGGGGCGGAGCAAGCCTAGATGGAGAACTGCAAATTGGCTCGTTCCATAGCTCTGGATCATGGGGGGGGAAATGGAGTTCGTTATGTTAGTTTCAGTTAGGTTTTGTGTGTTTTTGTGGGCTGATCAGCCCTATTTAAGTTTCTTTGTCTCATTTAGGGAGGTCAGTTTGTTTGAGTTGACAGTATTGTTTGTTGCTAACTTTGAGTAGATTTCTGTTACTTTGACCTCTTTTATGGGCACAAGATTTTGATTTTTTGTATAATTTAACCACCTTTGTTTTTGGGTTAAATAAAAAAACTTTTTTTCGGGACTTTAACCTGTGCCTGACTTTCTTTCACTCGCTCAATCACAAGGGGTTTTATAATACGAGAGAGTATAAACATGTATATATACAACAGTGAGAAAAACAAAGAAGTGAAAATTGATTAATTAAATGCATTAATAAATACTATGTAGACTATAAATCTAAGAATGATGTCGTAACTTTCACCTTCCTGTTTTGGCTAAGTCATCTTATGGTGCTCAGCTGGTCCTCGTCCTCTACCTGCTTTCTTCTTTTTAATTCAGCCCGAGCCTAATTTTTGTACGTGTTTTTTTCCTTTTTCATGCAGATTCCAAAGCTTCCAATGATCCATCTTGGACACCACTCAGTTTTTTCTAATGTTAAATTCTTCTGCTTCAGCACAGATGCCTGATCTCTCCGTGATATTTCTCATTACATAGAGAAATGGGAGCTGAGCTGAGCTGATGTACTCATTCCTTATCTTATCCATCCTGGTCACTCCCAGTATGAACATATGCACCTACAGCTCTGCCTCCTGTCTTTTTGGTATTGCCAACACCTCAAACAATGCATCATAGCATGCCATCTTGTAAATCTACCCTTTCTCACTTGCTGGTATCTCTATGTTACAAATCATCCCTCACACTCCTCACCACCCGCTCCACCCTGCCCGCATCCTGTTCTTACTCTCTCTTGTGCACTGTCCGCTGCTTTGGATGGAGGCAGTCACTATTGATCACAGCAGATAGAAAGTTTAAGTAGGACAGTTTAGTATTTGAGATGCTCAGTTGTTCCATGTATTTGTTTCCTTTCCGTTTGCCTTCAGGACCTGGACAACCTTCAGATCCAGCTAGAAGAGGTGCGCTTCTTCGACTTGTTTGGATACAGTGAGGAGGAAGGAGGCTGGCTCTGCTTCATGTGTAACAACCCTGAGAAAGCTACAGGTACACACACGCACACATATATGCACGCTAAGACGGGCACTGAGAATAGAAGGAATGAAGAAATGAGCTCTTCTTATCTGAAAATTGAAGCCCTCCACCTTTATAAACACTTCACTGTACATTTCCGCTCTTGCATATCGTCAAACATTGAAATTACACACTTTGCCTCACACACTTTGTCCTCCTGCGGTTTCCCCTGAATGGCTCCCATCCTTTTCTGTCTTCAGAGGAATGAACAACAACTAAAGTGGGATTTTAAAAGATTGCTTTCTCATTTCATGTCATCTCACCAGCTCTCTTGGGCACAGTTTTCTCTCTCTGGGGAGCTCCATGGGATGTTTTCCCTCAGAATGCCTTCGAGGCACATGACCTTTCCCCGGAAAAGTCAAGGAAAGTGCAGCAGAGAGCAGCTCTTACAAAACAGCTGCCACCCTGATTTAAGCATTTTTAAAGTCACTATAAGCAGTCAGTCACTTCCACCATGACTCAGATGTGATTGCTTTACTTTGGACTGGTGACCTTTCGGTGAGTGCTTTGTGCTGATGAAGTAAGACTTGGAATAAAGATCAAATCTTAAATCACCTTTGGTTTGAAAATTGCAGTGCTTAAAAATGTATAAACCATTCATAGTTTGCTACATTTCTGCATAAATACTACCAGAAAGTCCCAAAATCAAATAAAGAGAAGCCAGTTTAAAGCTAAACTCATTCTACGATCAGGATTTAATGAAAGAGATTCGGGACCATTGCTAACCTCTCCTGGAGTGCTCAAGCAGAGATCCCTCCAGGAGCGAGGCATGTAATCTAGTCACGTAATAGTAGTCGTGTAATAAAGTTTAACTGTAAGATGCTCCATGTGTGCGCGAGTGAGTGAGAGTAACATCAGTGGTATGTGAGAGCGTGGCGATAGATGTAGCTGCAGCGCACAGAATGTGCTTAAGTGAAGTGTGTTCACTTCATCTTAATGGAATGAAGTCCAAGTTGGCCCAGATATGAAAGCAAGTAACGAGCTATGAACCAGGCTAAACGGGTAGGAGCCATCAATCAGACAGAGCATGAAACATGTTTTAAGTTAAACATTTCTTCGCATTTTTGTAGATGTTTAAATATCATTTATTAAAAATACTGAGGAACTTTTACTTTGTGCCATGCATACATGAGAGATCACTAGGACATTTACTGTTGTATTGTAGCGTTAAATAAATAATTAGAGAATCAGCAGAAAGCCATATTCAAGTTTTGTGAGGTTTTCTTTCGCTTTATCTAATGAGAAAATTCTTATAAAAGGCAGGTATAACTAAAGACGCTGCCTCTGTCTGTGTGTGTGGCAACATCTCAAATAGATGGACTACAGGTCTAGATTGGCTAACCCTAATGTTCAGGCCAGCTGTGGATACTTGGAATAACACACAGATCACAGTCCACTTGGATGTGGCTCTTTATAATAATGAGAAATCAGATGAGATTAATGAGAAGTCTGTTTAAACAAATGATCTTCATACATTTAAGTGGTATTGACATTTATATGGCTCATTTCAAGACTCCTTGATATAAACAATACAGAAGCCAATTGAACTCCATTCTTTGCGCTCCGCTGCTAACCGGTGCATTCACTGACCTGGCTGAATGACTGCAAGGAATGGATGGTTACCTTTTTAGACTCGTGCCAGTTTCTCTTCATTACAGGAGGATTTAGAAGGGGAACGGTGATACCCTTTGTCCCTGTGGGGCTCTGTGTGTGTCTGTGTGTGCCTATTGTGCAAAAGTCCAGAGCCACTCCCAACGTCTTTGTATTTTGCCAGAGTTTGTTCTCATTTTTCAAGTGCTCTTGAGCAGCTGTTCTCCTGTGTTTCGAACTTTTTCTTAGGACATTGGCTGCTTTTTCACTGTGATTCAGTCCAGTCGTTGTAGCATTTGCAGAGAAATGTTTTTTGTGTTTTTTTTAGCCACTTAGCACTGCCCTATGAATCATCATAAAAAAACTCACAGGATGAAGCAGTGTTGTCTACACATAACAGATAACTTAGCAACAACCCATTTTCAAATGGTATCTTTAGGCACTTTGTTACCAGCGGCCTGTCACAACAACATATAACACATGTCCTCATTTATTAAGTTGAATCTACATAAAATGCCAATGATAACAAATGACCAAGCGCAAACACTGTGCTGCTGTACTGAAGAAGATTTTTTCTGACAACTTTTTACTTTTACTTCCTACATTTTTAAACAAATATCTGGACTTTCTAAGTAAAGAGAGTCTGTACTTTGCCAACTCTACACAATTTAGCAGACATAAAATAGTGTTTTATGTCTGTCAAAATAGTATTTTCAGGGTGTCCTTACAAAAACTAAGGAAACCAGAGAAGTGGAAGACAGAACAAGAGGTAGAAGGCCTAAAAAATTATCTATGGCAGATAGTAGCAGAAGTATCTTAAGTGTAGGGATGGGTACGTTCTGACATAAACGGTAGTAACCAGACCGAAAAGCAGCGCACATTTCGGTGCTTTATTTCGTTGCTTTTTTTTCCTGAGCTGTGATACACTTCTAGCCAATCATTTTACGTTTCC